GGAATACTTTTAAATATGTTCTGGATTTGATAGCTTATTAAATTATAATTCTTTATAGTTCTGTTTAGCACTGGCAAGATTACTCATCTACAGTTTATGAAGCATATCTTTTTGACATGGAAAAAAAGTTATTTAAAAATATATAGACACATTTATCTCCGTGTATATGCACAAAAATATGTCTGGAAAGCTGTTAACTAAAATATCAATAGAGGTTGTCCCTTGGTGTAAGGTTTGAGTGACTTTTAGCTTCATTTTATATTTCTGTTTTATGTGAAGTGTTTTACAGGGCGATGTATTGCTGAGTCAGGGAAGCAGTGAAGCTGTTAGGGTTGGGAGGGATACATGCGCATTTACAGCAGCAGTTAGAGCTATTCTTCGGTGTTCACTTTGCGGTCTGGTGAAATATGTTTAAATGACTCTCTGATCTGATTTCCAGGCTTTGGGTGAGCTCTGCGAAACCAAGTTTGGGAAGACACACCCTGTGTGCAATTTGGTAAGTGCCTCCCTGATGGGCTTGCACACTTGGAGTGAGCATATAACTCAGAAGGTGTTCCTCAGTGCATCATGGGAGCTGTCCGCCGTAGGGCATTTAGATCTAGACATAGGTAGCATGTGTGGGTGGCTCTGGATTCTTAAATTGATGTCATATACCATTTCCTGGGATGAAGCTGTTGACCTTCTTTAGTGATTTTTTAAATTTGGGGTTAGTATTATACATCTAGAATAATACATCTAGAATAGCAAGTCCTAGGGAAGAATTGACTTGAATCCTTTTGCAGTATAAGAAGAGTTCATGTGCACTCCATCGCAGAGTTTCTGAAACATCAAACTTAGAAGTATGTCCATAGAAACTTAGAAGTGTATCTTATAAAAGTATGGAGGAGCTGGAGGCTTTCCTCCATCCGAGATGAGAAAACACCAGCAGGGGGAAGTGAGCACACGTGGGAGCCTGTGTTTTGGGATGTTAATGTCCACATTGTGCTGGTGGCTCAGGACCCGCTGCGGAGGTTGGCTGTTGGGAACTCTGTCCCTGACTTTTTTCCCTCCCTTGCCGAGACAGCCGCTTCATCTGCCCCTTTCATTTCTGCACAGGTCGCTTCCTTGCCGTTGTGGTTGCCTAAGTCCCTCAGCCCTGGGTCCGGGCGGGAGCTGCAGAGACTCTCCTATTTGGGGTCTTTTTTTAGCTTCTCAGTCTTCGCAGAAGATGATGTAAGTATAGTGGCCATTTGCACCTTTGCTCTTGTGTTCAGATTCCTTCCCAAATGTATAATATATGTCGATTGAATTTGTTTCTTTTCTTTCCAGGCTAAAGTGGTTGAAAAATATTTCTCAGGGCCTGCTATTACCCTGGAAAATACTCGCGTGGTTAGCCAATCATTGCAGCATTACTTGGAGCTGGGAAGGGTAGGTGTTCAGAAAATGAACTCGGGGGATGAATAAAAGGCGGTAGACGAGTAACCGGTGCCTTGAACGGTAACTTCAGCTAGAATGCTACGCGTCCTCGGTAGGAGGCATCGCTGGGCACAGGTCCTGAGTTTAGTGGCCAGGCTTTCTCCAACTTGCTCTTAGGCATTTAAAACATGGGGTGAGTGAGCGCTGTTAGTTTAACTCGCTGGTCCCAAATGTAGTTTATATGGCTTCAGTTCTCAAAAAAAGCAGCAAAATTATAGGCTAATTATAGCGTCATTAAGGTAATTGTGATCCTCTCCTGGAAAGGAAATGGCAAAGGCTATTTTATTAAAACTGTAACTACTTCCTTCTCCACGCCACATCCCCTTCCATGCTAATGGCTGTCGACACAGTTGAGTGTGGGCTTGTCGTCTGCTCTTCCTGTCGCCAGCTTCTCGCAGTCAGAGGAAGTGGGGAGGAGACAAGGTGGGGAGGGAGCTAGCTGTCCTTAAGTCCAAAGGAATGGTTTTTAAAGTAAAGCTTTAATTTTTTTCTTTGTTTTTAAAATAAATTTCAGCAAGAGCTTTTCAAGATTCTGCATAGTATTCTGTTAAATGGTGAAACCCGGGAGGCCGCCCTTGGTTACATGGCGGCTGTCGTCAATGCCAATATGAAAAAAGCACAGATGCAGGTAGGACCCCTAAAGGCTCCTTTTATTGCTTCGTTAATTCATTCCTCTAACTCCTCTGTTCATTCAGCGCTGACCCGACACTGTCCTAGGAGATGGAGATGCGTGTTGAACAAGATGGAGACACTTCCTGCTTCTGTGCAGCGGGTGTCCTGTAGGGTAAATGAGTGAGCCCACAGACATGGTTTCAGCAGACATAGCTCCTAGGAAGCAAAGACCACAGGGTACCGCCCCGAAGAGTGATGGTGGAGGTTCCAGAAAGAAGCTGTGGGTGAATTTTGTCTGAGTGGTGGAAAGGCCCCTCTAAGGAGGTGGCATTTGATCAGAGACCTGACTGATAGAAAGAACCAGCCATTGCAAGGCCGGGGAAAGGGCTCTCTAGGCAGGCGTAAGGCACTAAGGTTGGAATGGACTAGCTTTGGAGCAAGCCCACATGCCGGCCTTTGTAGCTGGAGGACCGTGAACAGGAAGTGAAGGGTGGGTGGTGCGTTAGGAGGGTGGTCAGAGGCTCCATCAGTTTGCTCAGTGTGGTAAGAGCTGCCGTGAGGAACCCTCCGAGTCTGTGCAGAGAAGGCACTAAAGTGGGCGGGAGCCAGAGCAGACCTGAGACCAGCTCTTTGTGGAGGCTACTGGCGTGGACTGTTTTGCCAGAGCAGAAAAGCTACAAGGCCGTCCACCCTGTATTAGTAATGAATGATGTGACATTTCTACTCAAGATGGAAAAAGTATAGATCAAAGCTTGGACCTTGTACGAGACTGCCTGGATTTGCCATGGTGGTTCCGGCGTTTGCTAACAGTGGGACCTTAGGCAGTTACTTGTGTTTCTCCGTTTCCTCATTGCTGAATGGGGATGATAAACACTGAACGTGTGTATTTCCTCTCTGTAAAGTTGGTGGAATAGTGAGCTCTACATAGTGAGCACTCCGCGTTGTAACTGTCGCTGTTACAATTGTTCTGTTACTAGTGAGGACTGTGCCAATGCTGTCGGCTAGAGAGACTGTCAGGCGGGACCGTGACACTAGTTGTTCTCATGCTCTTGAGGGGAATGAAGAGGAAGGCAGCAGTGTGTAGTGTGTTGCTTGCTGATTGTGAGAGTCTTAGCCAATCACTTAATTCTCTGAATCTTAGTTTTCCTCTCTGGAAAATGGGAATCCTATCTAATAATAGACAAACATGGTAATTAACCATACCTCCGACACGCTTCCCATTGGCTAATCCGGGCGATATGCAAATTAACTGCCAACCAAGATGGCGGCCGGCAGCCAGGCAGCTGAAGCAAACAGGAGGCTTGCTTGCTCCAGTGATGGAGGAAGCCAAGGTTCCCCGCCTGCCGCTGCCGGCTTCTGAGCTGCACTCTAAGAAACAATGTTGCAATTATAGAAGCTAAACAAACCCCAGAAACCTGCTTTCAGCCAGCCGGGCCTCAGAGCTGGAGCTGCAACAGTGTTTCAATTATAGAAGCCAAACAAACCCAGATAACTGCTTTTAGCAGCCGAGGTCTCAGAGCTGGAGCTGAGCCTCAGAGCTAAAGCCGGCTCTCAGTTCCAGTGACAGCCATAAAAGGTAAATAAATCCCAGAATAAAAAAGAAAAAAAGGAGAGGTTGGGAGCCTGAAAACGGCCCTCAGCCCCTCACCCAGACTGGCCAGGCACCCAAGCGGGACCCCCACCCTGATCTGGGACACCCTTCAGGGCAAACCAGCCGGCCCCCACCCGTGCACCAGGCCTCTATCCTATATAGTAAAAGGGTAATATGCAAACTGACCCTAACAACAGAAAGACTGGGAATGACTGGTCACTATGACACACACTGACCACCAGGGGGCAGACGCTCAATGCAGGAGCTGCCCTCTGGTGGTCAGGGCGCTCTCACATGGGAGGAGCTCTGCTCAGCCACAAGCCAGGCTGATGGCTGCCAGTACAGTGGTGGTGGTGGGAGCCTCTCCTGCCTCCTCAGCAGCGCTAAGGATATCTGACTGCAGTTTAGGCCTGTTCCCCGCTGGCAAGTGGACATCCCCCGAGGGCTGCTGGGCTGCCAGAGGGATGTCTGATTGCCATCTTAGGCCCAATCCCCTGGGGAGCGGGCCTAAGCCAGCAGGTGGTCATCCCCTGAGGGGTCCTAGACTGGGAGAGGGCACAGGCCAGGCTGAGGGACTCCCCTCCCCCCGAGTGCACAAATTTTTGTGCACCAGGCCTCTAGTAATAGTATAACTGCCTTCTACGGGCTTTAGTGAAGATTCGGTGAGAGAACGTATGAAATGCTTCACAATGATGAGCACTCAACAAGTGGTAGCTGCTAAAGAGTGACAGTGGTGACGTGATATGTGTGTCCTGTCGTTGACCGTTTGGTGCTCTAGCTCAGCGGTCGCCAACCTTTCAGACTTCATGGACCATCAGTGGTCCGCGGACCACCAGTTGGCAACCGCTGCTCTAGCTGGTTTTGCCAGTGGTTAGAGCATCTGCCTGTGGACGGAAGGGTCTCAGGTTCGATTCCCAGTCAAGGGCATGTACCTGGATTGCAGGCTCGATCCCTAGCCCGGGTTGGGGCATGTGCGGGAGGCAACCAATCAGTGTGTCTCTCTCACATCAATGTTTCTCTCTCTCCCCTTCCTCTCTCCCTTCCATTCTCTCTAAAAATCAATGGAAACATATCCTCTGGTGAGGATTTAAAAATATTTTTTTTCTTAATAAAAAAAAAAGAAAAGATGCATGTTTGGTCAGCATTTCTATTTAGTCATTATTCTAAGTACTTCCTTTCATGTTTCACAGACAGATGACAGATTGGTTTCTACAGATGGATTTATGCTGAATTTTCTCTGGGTGCTGCAGCAGCTAAGTACAAAGATCAAGTTAGAGACAGTTGACCCCACGTATATATTCCACCCGAGGTGTCGGATCACTCTGCCCACCGATGAGACCAGAGTGAACGCCACGATGGAGGATGTGAAGGACTGGCTGGCGGAACTCTGTGAGTGATGTGTTCATTATCAGGTCATTGAACAGCTGCCCTTCTATTTTTTTAATTAAAAAACAATAGGTATGCGTCTGTCATCAGCAGGATGCAGTGGCACCCAGAGCGTCACCCCACAGCTTGGATCTGACACCAGTACAGCGTCCCTGTCCATCGCCTCCTGCCCCCACCTCCTTGCTCCCTCCGGCCCTTGCTCCTGTCCCCCAGGGACAGTTTTCACTGACTCCTCACCCCTACAGCGGTGACATCAGACCCTGGATTCACTCAGCGGGGGGCAGAGCCAGGAGCGTGTCTGAGGACTCGATTGTGGTCTTGCCCAATCAGGCAACATGACTGATATTTACCATTAATGACACTGTTTTAGGCCAGGTTTTATTGGCCAGTACAGAGCTGTGTCAGAGTCATGGGAGATTTTAACCAAAACAAAGTTTCAGTGTGCCTTCCCTTTGACCATCCCATATATTCTATAGGAAATTCTCTATGTGTAGGCTTATGGGCTGATCAGGAAAAGAACTTTAATATCTTAATAGTAACTCTGTTGTTTTCTAGTTAAATATGAGGAGACTGAGCTTCCAAAAGGTGTCACGCTCGCCTCGCCCGTTCAGCACGTGGCGCTGCTGCTCGGTTCTGTGCGCGAGTCCAGGGCGCTCTCTGCTCTGCCACGCAGCCTGGTCTGTGTTCGTCCTTCCTGGTGGTTAGTTGGGTTGCAGTTTCTCATGTTTGTCAGTAGTGAAGGAGGCAGTGTAATTCTTTACGAAATTTTTGTTTCACTCAGGAGACCTGATTTCAGATAAGCCAGGCAGACTTCAGAATTAAGATGTGGGCTCTGGCCCTAGCCAGTTTTGCTCAGTGGATAGAGCATCAGCCTGCAGACTAAAGAGTCCCAGGTTCGATTCCGGCCAAGGGCACATGCCCGAGCTGTGGGCTCGATCCCCACCCCCAGTAGGGGGCGTGCAGGAGGCAGCCAATCAGTGATTCTCTCTCATTATTAATGTTTATATCTCTCCCTCTCCCTTCCTCTCTGAAATCAAAAAATATATATATATTTAAAACAAAAGAAAAAAAGAATATTCCTTAAATGTTAAAAATAAAATAAATAAAAAGGAAAATTACTTTAAAAAAAAGTTGTGGGCTCACGGGGTCAGGGCCGGAGCCGGGAGAGTCACAGGCTGTGGAGGAGGTGGTCACGGGTTTCTAGGGAGCTCTGCCCGATGGAAGGCTGCAGCTCAGGAAGGTCCTCCGAGAGGCCCTTCAGGGGGAGGGAGGAGGAGGAGGGAGGAGGAAGAAGGAGCCTAGGCTGCCTGGCCTCAGCCCTTTTCCTGGCCATCAGCAGTCGTGCCCCAGAGAGGCCCAGGCAGGCAGAGGGAGAGCGTGCGAAGGAGTAAAGACAAAGAAAGAACAGGCAGAGGGAAGGTACAGAGGCTTGTGACAGACAGAATCTATCTGGGAGACAGGTGAGCAGGAAAACAGAAAAGTAGAAATGCAAGAGCAATGGGCAGAAACTCAACAGTAATGACACTGGGTTTGAAAGTGGATCCTAAGGGTGGGGGGAGGGGGACGGGGACGGGGAGGGGATGACTTTCTGCCTCTCCACTTTTTTGTTTAGGTCCAATCCCAAAGGATCTCAATACCCGGCATGCCCCTGAGTGGCCACATCCTGCTACGTGGGTGGTGTTCCCAGCTGCCCCAGTTAAAAAGTTAGAGTTTATAGAGTCTAGAACAGCTGTGGGCAAACTACGGCCCGCGGGCCGGATCCGGCCCGTTTGAAATGAATAAAACAAAAAAAAAAAGACCGTAACCTTTTATGTAATGATGTTTACTTTGAATTTATATTAGTTCACACAAACACTCCATCCATGCTTTTGTTCCAGCCCTCCGGTCCAGTTTAAGAACCCATTGTGGCCCTCGAGTCAAAAAGTTTGCCCACCCCTGGTCTAGAAAGAAGATAATTTTGTTTGGATGCTAGTGATTCCTCACACATTGTTGCCTCTCCAAAAAATGAATTTACGAGCTAGGGATATAATATGCAATAAAAATTAATACAGTAAAAAAAGTTCTTTGGATTGGCCAAATTCAAATATATACATGGAAGAAACAGAAGGAAATAGACTGTTCTCTGAGTTTAAATAAATAAATATTTAATAAAGCTGACAGCAGCAATTTAGCTACATATATATTTTATATGTACCAATTAAAATTCTCATGAAATATCTCACAGATCTTGGTGAATTGATGGTATGATTTATATATGAATATCTTGAAACCATTATGGTCATTGACCTTTCTCTCCACACTTAGAACAGCTGCTTAATGACAGCCACCAGAGCCCCGCAGCACTGTCTATGAGGGAGGGTGGCGGGTGCCTGCTCGCTGCAGCGACAGCATCGTGCCCAGGCAGGCACATTCCAGAAAAGCATTTAAACTGTCGTAAGAGCCAGGTACCTGCGAACAGTAACGTCAGTGTGTGATCAGTGCCATTCAATGAGTAGCTTTTGTTAAGTCTTGGAATACCTCATAGACTAAGAAATTCAGAAGAATCAAAGGTTAAGCATTTTTCTAAAAATCTAATAAAACATGAAAAGCCAAACAGGATTTAACCTAGATGTAAGAGAGAAATTTAAAGTAATTTTAGAAATGAAGTGCATTTTCAGAGACATTGTGTGTATCTTAATTTATAAACATACCATGTATAGAGTGAGACAAAACGAATATGTAAAATAAAAGAAAGGAGGAAAACTAGTATCCTAGAATTCATAAAATCATGCCATTCAAAATCCAGAACTGTTACAAATATGTAAGGTGAGAACTATATTTTATCAAGAGATGGGGTTTTTTGCTTGAAACAAAATGTAAGCAGTAAGTGTCATAGAAAATAAAATATACTTGTAGGGAAAATATGTGTACTTGTAGGAAAAATAAGATACAAATGGAAAGAAATTCAAGATATCAGATAGCTATAAATTATCAAAAACAAAGTGATAAGAGAAGAATGTGAGCTTGTGAAGAACTAGGTGGCATTTAATCCATTTATTTAGTCTCCCTAATGTGGATTCTGGGGATTCATAACAAAGGTTAGAATTCCATCATTCTCAGTAACTCCACTTTCCAGCATGTGCTCCCAAAGCTGGGCTGAGGGAGTAATTTATTGTACATAGATTCTCCCAGTACCACTTCTAATAGAGAAAATTAAGAAACACCCATTTTGAAGAATACAGGTCATAGATAAAACACATTGGGAAGACACATTACAAAAGATGGTTGCTGTACATATATGTAGACATTTCATCAGATGGGGAAGAATACCTGCTCTTTAAATGGAGCAAGCCCACAGGAATTCTGTTTTTCTTACAACATTAGTCAAGTCTATATGTTTTTTTAGGGATTGTTTCCCCCCCAGATTTTAGTTTTTATTGTCTATAATTTTTTAAGAGTCATTAAACTATTGGGAAATTCAAGTGTCATTTTGCGTTATTGGTTGTGCTTTTTCTTTGATTTAGTCCTGCAACCACTTTTATTTAGGGGATAATGGGTTTTTTTTTTCCTAGATGGAGATCAGCCTCCCTTTTCTGAGCCGAAATTCCCTACGGAATGCTTCTTTCTTACGCTGCACGCCCACCACCTCTCTATCCTGCCAAGTTGCCGTCGCTATATCCGCAGACTCCGGGCCATCCGGGAGCTCAATAGGTATGTGTGTGATGTCCTGTCCTGAGGTTGCCTGAGTCGCCACGTGTTCCAAGCTTCAGATAGCGGGGCACACAGTTAGAACCCCTCCCAGCCACTCAGGATGGCGCTGCGTCCAGAGTCTCTGGTGGGTGTAACCATGTCATTGAAGCTGCTCTACACGCTCCTCTCTTGCTGATGAAGCCCTTTAAGATCCATTCCCACACATACTCCCACATTTCTGTCACCTCGTGTGCAGTAGGGAGAGTAACGGTGTCAAAGATGTTCACGTGCTAGACCCCAGAACCTGTGAACACGTTACCTTACATGGTAAAAGGGACTTTGCAGATGTGATTAAGTTTAGGATCTTGAGATGGGAGATTTTCCTGGACTATCTGGGTGGACACAATATTATAAGGGTCCTTATAAGAGGGAGGCAGGAGGCACAGAGTGAGAAAAGGAAACGTAATGGCGGAGGCAGGTGTCAGCGTGATGTGGTTGGTCCATGAGCCGAGGAATATAGGTGACCTCTAGGAGCTGCCAAGGGCAAGGACACATTCTTCCCTAGTGCCTCGGGAGGAACGCTGACCTCCAGAGCTCTGGGCCGATAATTCTGTTGTTCAAGCCACCAAGTTTGTGCAGGCTTGTTACACTAGCCATGGGAAATGAATATGACAAACTAGCAAATCTTGCCCTTCTTTTTCTCCCAATATGAACTCCCTGCATATGACTTTGTAATTAGCCAGTAAGGACAGAAATTGGCCTCACTCTGGTTATGGTTCTGGGGCAATGAAAGGGAATTTGGCATTCTCCTGTAATATGACCACCTCGAAGTCATCAAAGTCTCCCACACTCCTTTTGAATTCTTGGAGTGCCCATCTTTGCTCTCACTCACAGCTAAGAGACCCAGTAAGGTTATCGATTCAGTTGATATTATAATGTGATGCTGGGTGGGACCAGACGCTACTTTATGGTCATCTTAGAACTCCCTGGCTCATCGACGTTCCTGGAGGTGAGATTGAGTATCCTGGCCTGTCCTTGTATTCTGTAAGCTCTCCACATAGAAGCAGCCCTCGTGTCTTCCTTCCCGGAGATCGCTGGTGGCCATTCTTGCAGCTGTTTTTCCACAGAGAGCCTTGGGCTGCCAGTATTCTGTCCTGAGGTGCCCGAATCGTCACTGCCCCGTCAGAGAACTAATCCCAGAGTCCCGTTTCTCTTGAGGGCCTGTTACCTGTGTGACCTCTTCTGGTGCCAGTAATATAGGTCATCATATTAGTTTCCAATTGTTGCTGCAATAGATTACCACACTTTCATGACTTAAAACAACATCAGTGATTATCTTACAGTTCTGGGGGGCACAGTCCTGAAGTCGAGGCTGCATTCTTTCTGGAGGCTCTAGGGAGGAAGCTCTTCCTTTGCCTTTTCCAGCTCCTGATGGCCGCCTGCATCCCGTGGCTCGTGGCCCCTTCCTCCATCTTCGAAATCAGCAGCAGAGCATATTGAGCTCACACTCTCCCTCCTCTGCTTTCTGCTTTCACATCTCCTCCTCTTCCTCTGACTCCCTGTGGTGACCTTGGGCCCACCCAGACAATCAGGATAATCTCCCATCTCGAGGTCCATACCCCTAATCACATCTGCAGAGTCCCTGTTGCATGTAAGGTAACAAACGCGTGCACAGGTTCTGGGGATTGGGATGTGACACGAGGGGGGAGCATTGTTCTGTCTATCACGCGCATAGTTGCACACAGAGTACTCTAGTTTATCAGAGGATTGTTAAAGGTTACCATTTGGTTTATTGAATCCTTGAAATGGCTGGAAAAACGGTTCTCCTGTGAGCCTGGCCTGGCAGGAAGCTGCTTCAGGGGTCAGCCGGACAGTAGAGCCTCCACCAAGTGCTCCCAGAACCATGTGGCTGCCACTTGGCAACGTTCACTTCTGCTTTCAGTGAGGGTTCGCCTCTTGGTGGACTAGGTCATGTGCAGAAATGCTGGCAGCAAGGGAGCCTGGGAATGGTAGTGTTTTTTTGTTTTGTTTTGTTTTTAAAGATCAACCTCTAGTTCCTTACAATGTCTTGATAGAAAGGGGTTGAAATAATGTTAAGTGAGCAATCTTTAAAATGTGCAGCATTATTACCGATCGGGGACACTACCTCACTGACAGGTGATACTTGGACAGACACCTGAAGGAAGTGAAGGAGCAGGTGGCAAAGGTGATCACAGAGAGGGGTCTTCCAAGCAGAGGCGACGATTGTAAAAGAAAAGGAGGAAAGGCCATCAGTGAAGTCGCCCTTTCGCCTTTTGTTTTGGGTAATCGAACAGGCATAGTAACCTTGAATTTTCTTGAGACCTCTTTTTCTCCCTCCAAGAAAAACAAGGGAACAATGTACTTCCTTCTAAAAGAGGTTACCAAATTTCATCACATCTAACGTGTCATCAAGAGCCCGGCTGGTGTGGCTCAGTGGTTGAGCGTCAACCCAGGAACCAAGAGGTCGCTGGTTAGATTCCCAGTCATGGGCGTGCAGGAGGCAACTGACGAATGATTCTCTCTCATCATTGACGTTTCTATCACTCTCTCCCTCTCTGTTCCTCTCTGAAATCAATAAAATATGTTAAATAAGTAAATGAATAAATAAAGTGTCATCACTTTTACGACATCATTTTAGGAATCAATAAGAAAGAAAAATGCTGCCAATTAAACCATAACGTGCATTGATTGTAAGACATTCTCTGGTTTTCGAAATGCTAAAATTGGGGGGAAATATGTGTCTGAGAGTCAATGAAATGGTCAGAATGAATAGATGAGATGGATAGTGGGTGTGTGTGTTTTCTTTTCATTTGACCATTCGTCTTTGATTTCAGAACCGTGGAAGATTTGAAAAATAACGAAAGCCAATGGAAAGATTCCCCCCTGGCAACTAGACACCGTGAAATGCTGAAGCGCTGCAAAACTCAGCTTAAGGTCCGTATCGGTAATTGGGATAAGTATCGACCAGCCTCATGATAGTGTATTTCCCGCAGGATATGTGCCCTGAGTAAGCAGTTTCATGTCCTTATTTTTTCTTCATTATTCTCCTCCCCCCCCTCCCCCCCAGATAAAATGGTGCATCTAAAACTTGTTGGTAGTTCACATGTATCTATATAACATTTAAGCCTCAGGACAAACTATCAAGTGCTATGCCAACGACATCATGAATTCTTAGTCGATGTTATCATCCTCAGTTTAGCATCTCCTCCCTTTCCCTACCTTGTGCAGTGCCCTCCCCTCCTACTACCCCCAACCCTGCCATCCTGCCCCCAAAGCACACACCATTCCTTCCAGTCATGCATGTTCATGGTGTGTGGCAAAGTAGATTCGTGGTCGTGGAAAGATTTCTTTCTTTTGCACCTCCTCATTCTTCATTTTTAATTGAAAATGATCCATCACACAGAACCAACTATGGATGGGAAGATTTCTTCTCGTGAAACATAGCTTGAAAAGGTTGTACGAGGGAAGCACAGAGAGCAAATTGAAGCATTTTTCTTAGGTTTATATTCAAATTAGAAAGCTGAGTGTCAGCTGGTCATGCTTTGTGCTGATTAGTCTGGCTTGGATTTCTGTCACACGTTAAGGTCATATTTAGTTTTGCTAAGACACTAGACCCCTTTGAGATGCAGAATAAGGCAGGGGCTCTTGTCTGGGGTCTGCAGAACCCTTAAGCTCTCTAAAGGTAACGCTTCAAGGAGCCCACAAACTGTTTAATATGTCAGTGTGTGCGCATGTGCGTGTGTCTTATTCCCACAGTGATCCTCTGAGGTAGGGGACAAGCATTTTCCCCAAAGGCAGCTCATGAGTGGTGCCCTGGAACTCGGATGCAGATTTGTCTGGCTTCTTCCCACTAATCATCCCTGGCCCCCGAAGAGCTCCCCAAGTTACTCAGATGTGACAGCAGTGACCTGCCTCTGAGCTGAGTGCTGGGCTGTGTGTCCAGTGGTCCGTGTGGCATAGCTTTTGTTTTTCTTAGAACACGACCCAAAGCTAGTTAGCGGGGAAGCTCTGGATGCCCCAGCTCCCCTCTCCTGGCCCACCCCGCCCAGCACGCTGCCGGGGCTCAGCTGCCAACTAACCATGGCCGGGCCACACCTGCTTCCACAGAAACTGGTACGATGCAAGGCCTGCGCTGACGCTGGTTTACTTGACGAGAGCTTCCTGCGAAGATGTCTGAATTTTTATGGCCTTCTCATTCAGCTGCTGCTCCGCATCCTGGACCCTGCCTACCCCGAGTGAGTGCGCTCTTCCTCTTTGTCGGGGCTGTGTGGAGCGTATTGCCCTTCACCGCCCACAAGTGGAACCCAAACCCTCCCCTCACCAAGAACTCATTTTTGCCCTGGCCGGTGTGGCTCAGTGGATAGGACGTCAGCCTGTGGACCAAAGTGTCCTGGGTTCCATTCCGGTCAATGGCACACACCTCGGTTGCAGGCTCCTGTCCGGTCCAGGCCCTGGTTAGGGCTCGTGCAGGAGGCAACCAATCGATGTGTTTCTCTTACATTGATGTTTCTCTCTGTCTTTCCCTTTCTCTCCACTCTCTCTAAAATTAATGGGAAAATATCCTCAGGTGATGGTTGAAAAAAAATAAAGAATTCATTTTTCAATTTCCAGATTGTGCTTATGTAGAGTATGTAATATTAATATTTTCCCTGTAATTAGTTACAGTAATAAGGGAATGTCAACACCTGCAATTTTAATTTTGACATAGTGCTTTGTAAAAATTGGCTTTATTTTTATCAATCTTTGATCGATAGAAGATGGAATCTATAAGTTGGAAGCTAAAAGCTGGAGATAAGCTTGGCTGGCTTGGCTTAGGGGTTGAGCGTCGACCTGTGAACCAGGAGGTCACGGTTTGATTTCTGGTCAGGGCACATGCCGGATTTTCGGGCTTGGGCCCCTCAATTTTTTTAAAAAAGCTAGAGATAACATTTTATTGTTGCGCTGAGAGCGTTGTTGCCCTTGTATCCTCACCTGTACAGCTTACTGTTCTCATGTTATTGTTGCGAAGCCTGTGCGTCCCGCTGTGGGAGCCCTCTGCAGACGTGGAAAGTGTTATTGAAAGTGCGGCCGGAACTGTCGTCTCAACTGTGACCTGTGCTTTTTTCTCGTTGACAGTGTAACACTGCCTTTAAGTTCAGACGTCCCCAAGGCGTTTGCAGCATTGCCTGAGTTTTATGTAGAAGATATTGCTGAATTTTTATTTTTTATTGTACAGTAAGTTTCTTTACCATATTACATAGAACTTATATGTTTTTATATGTTTTGTGCATATTCTGTGATTAATTATATTACAAACCTCCATTTTATGTCGGAAGTTTTGTGTCACTGCTTTAACTGCTGCCTGGAGATTAGAAAAATAAATCCAAACTGTGGCACCAGGCCAATTCCAATAATATCTCGGAGGCAAAGAGGATTAACGATGCTGGCAATAATGTCTTCTGTGAAAATGGAGTTGAACTTCTAATGATGGAGAATGTGTTTCTGAGAAACAGGAGCGGTTTATAAATATCTGAGTGAACATTCAAAAGCCAGAAATAACCACATCTATATTTTGTACCAAAATTTTTCTCAATGGTAGAATTGGAGAAAGGTAGCAAAGTAATGGGTTGAGTTTATAACTGGCTTCTTTGAAATGAAAATAACTCTATTAAAATATTTTTTTAGTGTTTGGGTAGTGAAGATCTTTGAAATCCATGTGATGATTTAATCACAGCTTTGGTTTATTTTCTGAAACATAATAAGTTAGTCTACATTGTTGTGGCCAGTAGACATGATGGATTTTAAATCTATCTAGTTATGATATAAATAATCACTTTAAACTCAGCAAATTAAAGGGGACTCAGCATCCCGGCTCCGGGACCTGTTAGCCGCCTCCCCTCCTGAGGACACCAGCGCCCACCCAGGTTTAGACTCAGGGCTTCATCTCGCACTCCTCTTGCCCTTCAGATACTCGCCTCAGGTGCTCTACGAGCCCTGCACTCAGGATATTGTGATGTTCCTCGTTGTGATGTTGTGCAACCAGAACTACATCCGCAATCCGTACCTGGTGGCCAAACTGGTAGAAGTCATGTTTATGACCAACCCTGCTGTTCAGCCACGAACGCAGAAGTTCTTTGAAATGATTGAGAACCATCCTCTCTCCACCAAACTGTTGGTCCCTTCCCTGATGAAGTTTTATACAGGTAGGTTCCTGGGTAGACAGGCCGACAAGGCCATCTAGAGCCAGTGGTGAAGTTACTCTAAGCCTGTTACCGAATGTGCTGACATCCACTAACACGGGTGGCTCGGTAGCCCACTGGGAGCAGAGCATGTGCTACTGGTTCCCTGAGAATTACGAGTAGTTCATGTCTTTTGTTTGTTTGTTTTGTTACCTGAACTTTTAACATTTTCTTCAGTAAACATGCATTGTTAGTGTTAAAACTAAAAAAGTTAATGTTTTGTACCCCGTGCCTGCAGCTGTCACTGGCTTCTGGATTTAAGCGACGGGTGTGTAGGTGTGTGGGATAGAGCTGGGCCTCCCCTGCGAGACCAGTGCTGGGCCTGGCCGGGCCCCCACTGTTCAGGTCCCAGGAGCTGGCGGGCGGTGCTCTTCTCCCTCCCCTCCCAGCAGGCAGTGTCCCCTCTGGCCCTGGACACCTCTGTGGTCATGGACAGATGATACCCTTGCTAAGAATAGCCATCACTTATTGAATCCTCACTGATCCTTGCACTTAATCCCAACCACAGGCCTCAAGATGGGCGCTATAAATATCTCCATTTTACAAGTGAGGAAACCGGAGCTTAGAAAGGTCAAGAAGCTTGCTGAAGGTCAGCAGCTAGCGAGGCAGCAACCTCGGCAGCTGGGCTGTAGCACAGGTGCTCCTGGCTTCTGTGCTGTGCCTCCCACGGTTACCAAGGCACTGGCGCCGGAGGGCCTGCAGCGGGGCATCGCACACACTCCCCGAATGCCCAGCAGGTCCTCACCCCTGAACACGCCTGCCTCTCAGGAATGTGAGAGACTGAGATACAGAACAAGCACCTTTTTGCACCCCAGGAAGAATAGCAGCGGTTCTCAACCTGTGGGTCGCGACTCCTTTGGCGGTCAAACGACCCTTTCACAGGGGTCGCCTAAGACCATCCTGCAGATCAGATATTTACATTACGATTCATAAAAGTAGCAACATTATAGTTATGAAGTAGCAACAAAAATAATTTTATGGTTGGGTCACAACATGAGGAACTGTATTTAAAGGGCCAGAAGGTTGAGAACCACTGGAGAATAGGCTAGCTTAGGAAATTCTTAAGATCAAATTTTTGTTTCAAAAGGAAAGTTCATTTTCAAAATAAGAGTATTTATTTGTAAGGACCAGCTCTCAAAAGTCTGCTACTCAGAACTTAGAGGGACTCTGATGACTTATTTCAAGACTCCTCTTCCCAGGCCGATCTAGTCAGCAAGGCCATCCTTAGCCCAAGTAGACCAGGCACTGATGCAGCACGTGCGTTTGAAGCTCCTGTGTGTCGGGCTGGTTCTGATGCTCGGGCCAGCGGTGAAGATGGCACAATCCCTGCCACCCTGGGTCAGACGTTCTAGGTGGGAGACAGATGCTGACCCATATACTCTCATAGTGGGGGGGGGCGGGGGGGGGCGGAGCGTGGTGCTACTTCGAGAAGCTAGGCAGGGAGGGTCGCTGAGAAGAAGACTTGGAGTAACCTTGAAAATGAGACAAAAGAGTGAGTCTTAGGAGATCTCAGCCACTGTGACAGGCGAAGGAGGCAGCAGGTGTAAAGGCCTGAGGCCGGGCAGCTTAATGAATCTGGTAAGAAAGCAGCCAGAGAGTGCAAGGGGGGATTGCAGCCAGCAAGCGGGCAGGGTGAGGTCAGCAGGTGTCTGGTTGTTTTAGTCACAAAAAATGTATTGGAAAATACAGAAAATACCAAGAAGAAAATAAAAGTCATTGATAATCCCTGCACTCAATAGAGAATCTAGGAACATTTTTCTCCGTATCCTTCCAGTCAGTTTATTTATGACACGTGTGTCTTTCTTTATTAGATGTCGAGCATACCGGAGCGACCAGCGAGTTCTATGACAAGTTCACCATTCGCTATCACATTAGCACCATCTTTAAAAGCCTTTGGCAGAACATAGCTCACCACGGCACCTTCATGGAGGAGTTCAAGTGAGTACTGCGCCCCCAGTGTCACTGCTTGCTCTCTTGCAAAGCACAGGGAGAGGGGCTGCTTCAGAGCCTTCACAGCCGGCTCTTGGCTGTGTGCTTGGTCTCAGCCTGCTTTAAGTTTCCAGAAGGTACTGCCGAACGTGAGAAGGTCATCTAAATGTCTGTGCCTACGAGACATTGCTGGACTCTAGGTTGGTCACAGTACCTTGGGGATGGCGCACATAAGGAAAGAATGACAGTTATTCTGAGATGATGTGTTAAGTGTTTCGTGATTACCGTGTTAAAGGCGGTTGTCGGAATGACTGCAGCGAGATCTTACTGTGTTCCTGAACATGATACCAAGCTGCAGAGCTGGGAATGTTCGGAGGAGTTGAGATTCAGAAGCAGTTAGATTAGGGTTGTCATTTGAAGTGTCGTTCTTTGCATTTGTAGTAAGGCTCTAACCAGCGGTGCTCAACCTGTGGGTCTCGACCCCTGAAAATGCATCCTGCATATCAGATATTTACATTACGATTCATAACAGTAGCAAAATTACAGTTATGAAGTAGCAACGAAAATAATTTTATGGTTCGGGGTCACCACAACATGAGGAACTGTATTAAAGGGTCGCGGCATTAGGAAGGTTGAGAACCACTGCGAGTAAGGCCTTTTCATTAGCCCCCTGAAATTGTAGCACCTACCTGAACCTGACATTAGTAATTCCATCTAAATTACTTTGGAAAGAAAGGTAGGCAGAAAGGTTGAACTCTCGCCTTACTCTCCAGGAGAAGTTTTATCCCATCACTTGGACCTTTTTTTGCAGCCCCTGTTAGATCTTTGATCAGGTCTGGCGGTCACTCGTTCACTGATTACGAGTCAATAATGTCCGTATTTCCAGTGGAGTCACCATCTGCTAAATAGCTTGCTGCAAAGGAAACTGTGAGGTAGTTCTTTGTTTCCATGAACTGCTCTTCTGGTCAGAATTATGTTC